GCAGCAGCTGTGGAATACTGTGTGGTGGTTCCTTAAAAACCTGAAAATAGTACTAGTATGAAACCTGAAAAATCCAAACCCACTCATGGACTTGATTCCAACACATAACGACCCTGCATAGGGCTTCCAAGGCTGTACATTGTACAGGAGAAGGCAGCCATTCTACCATGTTGTTAGTGTTGTTCAGTGCCGTCGAGTTGGTTCCAACCCATAGTGACCCTGTAAGCATTTCCGAGGAGCAGCTGGTGAGTTTGAACCGTCGACCTTGTGGTTCAAACCAACCTTGTGATCAAGCGTTTATCCTACAGCACCATATGACCCAGCAATTCCATTTGTACATATATACCATTAAAAAAAAAAAAGCAAAATTGGAAATCAAAGACTCAAAAAGAGACTTGTACACCAACACTACTCAGAATAGCCTAAATGTAGTAACTACGTACACTGGAATGCCACTCAGCCAGTAGGAGAAAGGAAATCTTCATACTTGCCATGGTATGCATGGGGCTTGAAGACATGCTGAGCAAAATAAGCCAATCACAAGGACAAATACTGTATGGCCTCACTTCTATAAAAATATAAGAAAAGGCTACTGTACAGAGACCAAGTTTATCAGGGGATACTGGGAGTAGGAGAGAGTGGGCAAAGAGGGCTAATAGTGATGGGAAATCCCATTGATTCAGGGTGAGGTTGCACAGCTGATTCTTGTCATTGTACCCCTATAAAAAGTTGAATTGACAAGAGTAGTTCCTGCGGCTGCTTATGTACTATCAAATCCCTCATGGGATCTGGTTCCTTAAGAGGTCTGGAGGTTTAAGATCATGGTTTTATGGAACACATCCCAGTTAATTGACCTAACAACATGTTCAGTGTTTCTGTTCTACCTCCCAGTTCATTGCACAGTGCTGGGTTCTTACAAGCTTACAAACAGCCATCCAAGGTTTAACAATTTGTCTCTATTTGTCTGGAACAACTGAGGAAAAAGCAGTCGGGAAAAGGAAGAGACTATGGAATGTGTAGCTAATTGCCTCCATGAACAATTGTCTACTTTGCCAGAAGAACTGGATGGTGACTGGCTACCATTACTTAGCATTTTGATCAAAGAACCTAGAGAAAAAGTTAAAAGAGGGAAAATGAATTCCAGAACAGAATTTCAAGTTCTCATAAACTGTAGCTTTTCTGGAACCATGGAGCTACATACACCCTGAAACTATCACCCTGAGATCATCTTTAAACCATAAGCCAAAAATATCCCCTAGTGAAGTCTTCTTAAAGCTAAACAGTAGTTTGGTTTCACTATTAAATAATGCCATTATGCTCTTTTAAGAACTATTTGTATAGGATCAAAATGAAAACAACTGGAAAGATTAGACAGGAGCCTTAAAGGGCAATGAGTTTATTTTTGTGAGGGAGGACAACTCAGAAACCAAGGGTAAGAGTGATCACACAACGTGAAGAATACAATCTGGTCACGAAATTGTCCATTAAGAAAAGCTGTTGACGTGATATATATTTTGCTGTGTGTATTTGCAACAACAACATCAAAATAAATAAAGTTAAGGGGGAAAAAAATTATGGAATCTAACCTACCAGCCAGTACTCTGGAAAAAGATGAGGCTGTCTGCACCTGTAATAATGTACAGTCTCGGACATCCTACATGGGGATGCTATGAGTTAGTATAAGGAGCTCTGGTAGCATAGTGGTTATGAATCGGGCTGCTAATCTCACGGTCAGCAGTTCGAAACTACCAGCTGTGTTCCGCAGGAGAAAGACTCAGAAACCCTATGCAGGGTCGCTATGAGTCAGAACCGACTCCACAGCACACAACAACAACGACAATGAGTTGGTATCGACTGGATGGCAGTGAGTTAGCGCTATCCAATCCACCATCCTCCACTCTGCATTAGGTTGCAGGTAAAATACAGGAAGCTCAATTAAATTTGAATTTCAAATATTGCTTGGGCATACTTACACTAAAATATTTTTGTTGTTTATCTGAAACAACAAATGCAATATTTGGTAATTGATTATATTGAAAACTATTCATCATTTATCTGGAATTTAAATTGAACTGGGCATCTTGTATTTTTATAAATTTACTAACTCCACCAATAATAATAGTAAAACAATAATATCTGCTCTAAAGACTTTGTAGCTTGTTTATTAAGAGTACAGACTCTGGATTCAGACTACAGAATTTGAATCATAGCCTGCTGTTTACTAGCTTGTGACATTGGGCAATTTAAAAAGTTCTTTATGCTTTAGTTTGCAGGATAAATATCAATAACGAGGTTGTTGTTAAGTGATTAAATTATTGTTAAATGTCGTCAAGTCAGTTCTGACTCATAACAACCCTGTATAGAGTTTCCAAGGAGCAGCTAGTGGGTTTGAACTTTACGGTGTGAGCAGTTCTCCTACAGTGCCATACCAGGATTGTTGCTGTCAAGTGCCATCGAGTCGATTAGGATCATAGTGACCCTGTATAAGGTTTCCGAGGAGCAGCTGGTGAGTATGAACTGCCAGCTTTGTGGCTCGAAGTCCAGTGCTGATTCTACAGTGTCACACTAGGAGCCCAGCGATTAGATTAGTACTGTATAACTGTGTAAGTGTTCAATTAATGTTAGTTTTGATTGCCGTGTTTGACTGCTAACTGTAAGGTTGGAAGTTCAAGTTCAACCAGCGGCACTTCAGAAAGGCCTGGTAATCTACTTCTGAAAAAATCAGCCATTATAAAACCCTGGTTTTAGTATAACTCCTCTGACACAGATGGGGTTGCCGTGAGTCAAAATTGACAGCAACTTGGCTTTTTTTAAAAATGAGTCCATTTTAAATCCAACATCATGGATGTATCTTATCTGTTTAATACTTTGTTCTAAATTTTACTTCCCAAAAAAAAAAAAAAGAGTACAGATCTGTACTTTTTCCTTTCAGAACTAAATTGCCAGACCATTCTTTTGAGGCATCGAGTTGGTACTGACTCATAGCGACCCTATGCACAGCAGAGCGAAACACTGCCTGATCCTGGGCCAGCCTCATTACTGTTGCCACGCTTGAGTCCATCAATGTTGCCACTTGGCCAATCCATCTCATTGGGGATCTTCCTCTTTTCCTCTGACCCTCCACCGTACCAAACATGGTATCCTTCTCCAGCAATTGGTCCCTCCTGGCAATATGTCCAAAGTATGAGAGACGAAGTTTGGCCATCTTGGCCTCCAAGGAGCACTCAGGCTGCACTTCTTCCAAAATGGAGCTATTGGTTCGTCAGCCCATGGCACTTTCAATATTCTCCTCCAACACCATAACTCAAAAGCATCAATTCACCTTTGGTTGGTAGCTGAGTGCCTGTGCTACCTGGGGACTCCCTATTTGATACACAGGCCCTAATAAATGTCCCCTCGGGAAAGGACATCTCATACATAACTTTATACAATTAAATGTATCATTTCTAAACATTTTGAAACCATTGATTTAAAATAATTTCTGAATACATACTGAGAAGTGATTTATTTTAATCAATGGTATATATTTGTTTTAATTTCGTTTTTCTCCCTCCACAAAGGCAGGACTTTTATCTATTCTGTCGTTTTTGTCCCCTGCTGTAACCCCAGCATCTAAATTGTGCCAGGCAGATAGTTGGTAGGCATTCAATTCAAATTAGCTGATTGTAGAATGAATAGTGACACTTCTTTCATCTTGGCACATTAATATCTGTTTTGTAAACTTTCTAAGGCCCAGAGTAAATCTGCCCTCTTCTGAGAGACCTTTCTGGATTCTCCAAGCAGAAACACATCTTCCACTAAGCCAAGGAGTCCTGGTGGTGCCGTGGCTTAAACGTTGAGCTGCTGACTGTAAGGTCGGTGGTTCAAACCCACCCATCACTCTGCAAAAGAAAGCTGTGGCTGCCTGCTTCTATAAAGATGTACAGTCTTGGAAACCCTAAGGAGCCGTTAGTTCTAATCTGCCCTGTAGGGTCACAGTGAGTTGGAATTGACGCTGTCGCAGTGGCCTAGTGAGTTTCATCCAGCTCTTTGGGGATTTGTAATTTTCTCCTCAGAATGATATTATGTGGACACATCTCAACTTTGCCAGTATTCTCTAAGCTTCTGGAGGACAGTATTGTGTTTGGTTCTAAATGAGTTTACTTAAGAGATATGAACATTCCAAGGATACAACCCATACGATTGGAGAAGAGGAACTCTTAACTACTCTTTGGTTTTTTTTTTGCCATATCTGTTTTGCTTTCTTCCTGCCATACACATATCACTAGCCTTGAAAGAATATTCTTTCATTCATTTAAAATCATGATTTCTTGTTGTAGCACTTCGATAATTAACTGCATTACTCTTCCTGAAGAGGAACAAAACTGGAGCTAGTGAAATCCATGCTTTTGTCTTTTTTTTGTAATCCTTTAGAAAATAAGGACCTTAACTTTGCATTTGGACAGTACTTCTGGATTCTTTTTTTTTTTTTGTAATGTTTTATTGTGAATTATGTGATAGTTTACATGGGAGAACATTAGCTTTACATTCATCTTATCGTATATCATTTCATTGCCATGGTTACAATCCCTTCCATGCATCATCAACCAACCAAAGGGTATACCCCGCAAGCCTGCCCCTCGGTTGTCAGCGCACAACCCTTCTCCCTCTCTGGGTCTAGAGTCCCCAGCTGCTCCATCTCTCCATGCCATCGTCTCTGCCTCCATCTCAGGCTTCACTGCTTCTCTGGGTAGGGTCCCGCTCTCCGCTCTTCTCCATTGATGGTCCCAGGGACCTCTGCTCCTGGACTGCAAAGTCAACCACTCCCCTCCTTTTGCTACTTACAGTACATCTACTTTTACATTTCCAACCCTCACAGTCAGTCCTGATAACAATTATTCACTATTGTACCACAAGAGACCTATCCCCATCTCCTTTCATTACTTATGGATTGTTGGTAACATATAGAAATTGTGTGCCTCTGAAGATTAATGATGGACCTTAACTGGGTTTAAATTCAGACATACATAGGATCCGTATTAATCTCAGTCAACCCTTTCAAGCAGATGCCATATTTTGGGGAAAAGGAAATTGAAATGTACCAAGGAGCGGTAAGTATTAGAACACATTAATTACTACAGTGTTTAGGGCTTTTATGATGTATGGGTTTTTTTTCCCCTTGCAGCTAGCATTACATTTGCATTTTCTTATTATGAATTATTTATTGGGGAAGCACAAGTAAGTGACATTGTCTGATTTTTAATCATGTCCTACTCTTTAGATTGAAGGAGCTCTGGTAGCGTAGTGGTTACAAATCAGCCTGCAAACTGCAAGGTCAGCAGTTCGAAACTACCAGCTGTTCTGTGGAAGAAAGATGAGGCTTTCTGCTCCCATAAAGATTTACAGCCTTGGAAACCCTGTACAGGGTCGCTATGAGTCGGAACCGACTCCACGGCATATAACCACCACCACTCTTTAGATTGAGGCCCAAAAAGACATCTAATATTTGAGCGTAATTTATATACAAAATTAGTTAAATAGGACCCACCACCTACACATTGAGGAGTCTTCTTGTTTCCTCTTATGTTACAACATTCTAAGGAATAAATATCAATAATGGGTTAAAAAAATTGCTGATGAGAGCCACTCTTTCAGAATTAGAACCTTAATGAAAATATTAAGGTTGAACATGGGAGAAAGAAAGAATATTTTATGACTTCATCTACTCATGCGACCCAGTCTCTAGTTAAGCGCTGCTCCAAAGCCATGAAAATGGAAGCTGTAATCCTAATTAATATATTTTCTTCCTTGGTTCATCCCTTCCCCAGATTTCCACATCTCTGCTTCTTCTTCGCTCTTCCTTCTAGCAGAAACACAAGCGTGTTCATTAATCCTGACCCCTAGAAAACAAACAAAAGGGAGCCCACACAAATTCATCAGTTGAAGTGGAAGGCAATTTACCCAGAGCAAGAGCCCACCCCATTGTTGCCAGATGAATGGTGCTGGTAGCTGGAGCCGAAGGAGGCTGCCACGCGAAAACGCTTTGATAATGCTGCCTTTATGAGAGCCCAGCACAAGGAAACATTGTCAGCAGAGGCTGGGGCCTACCCTGGCACCCTGAGCTGTGCTGGCTTGGTCTCCTCAGTGATAGCCAAGCGGGGCTAGATGAAAGTGTGCATGTGTTGGTTCCTTCCAGGTTTTTCAAGAGGATTCCTACATGTGAGTCCCTTTTAGCCCATCACACATTTTGGGGCTCTTTCTAAATAAATTCTCTAGAACTATAAAGTGTGTTTATTTTGACTATTGATGTTAAGATGAGGCTCTTTGCTCCCCTAAGATTGGAAACCCTACATAGGGTTTCTATGAGTCAGAATTAACTCGACGACAATGGCTTGGGTTGGGTTTAGTAACAGAGAGTGCTGTAAAATTGGTGTTTCCTCAGTACCTGTAGATACTATGTTGAAGTCTTATAACAAGACAGAAACAGCTGGTTTGGTTACTAATCCCATTTCACAAATGAGGCTCGGAGATCTAGGATTTAAAAGTTGTATCTAAATGAATAATAGAGGAAAGGTCTACTCTAAATCTCAAATGAGTCCATGGATAAGAAACCAATTTGAGAACTAGAGTGCATGCAGGGGTCTCGTTGTAGTTGTTAAGTGCCATCAAGTAGTTCCAACTCATAGTGACCCTGTACAGAGTTTCCGAGGAGCGGCTGGTAAGTTTGAACCGCCGACCTTGCAGTTCAAACCGACTTTCGTTCTTATAATCCTCATTTCCTTATTTTCAAAGAGGCATCACAAATGATCCTGCACAGACAACCTGGACTAGAAGAAGTCCACCAAGACTACTACAGCCCTGTGGGGCCATCCATGATCTCCCAACAGTGACCGTGAGGAAATCTCACCAAAGCCAAACCTCTAGCAACCCTATAAGGCAGAGTAGAACTGCCCCATACAGTTTCCAAGGCTGTAGTCTAGAGTCACTGGAGGCTTCCAGCTGCTGACCTTCCGATTAGCAGTCAAACACTTTAACCACTAGGGCCAGTAGGGCGCTGCTTTCAGGCAGGGATACAATGTTATTCCAGGTCCATAAGCAGAGTTCTTCTGTCAACCCATTGTAAGAATAGGGGCTGTTTCTCTGTGAACCTCTGTGCCCCACCTGAAGGTTACACCAATGCTTAACATATGCCTACCTGTCAAAGCTCCTCGCATCTTCCCAAGTTTGGCATTGAGTGGGAATTTCGGACCCCTTTATCTATAGTAAGTCTTTTACATAATAAGGTTCCATGCTTTCCTTTTGCATATAACTCTTCCTTTAACCATCTCAGTTACTGTGTGAGGTTTGTAGCCTGGCCATTATTATCCCACTTTAAAGATGGGGACAAGTAAGGGAGAGGCAGGATCTCAATGTCTCCTCATTTCGGTAGTCGCATTGTTTGTGTTATATAACCTGCAATTTATGGTGTGTACTTTCTCCAGCTATACATCACATAAAGTCTTTTTTACCAGTTTTTGAGGTAGTGATGGAAACGGGTTACAATAAAGTGAATACAATAGAACTGATGTTGGCTTGAAACAATGAATATCAGGTATGGAGATGTAGTTGGTGTTATACTTACATATAAGTAACATCAAGATGTTCTATGAGGTTAAAAAAAACACAGGAGAATACCTTGATGTGGTAGGATTCCCCCACCCACCCCACCAGTGGATGTGAAACAAACTAGCCAAACCAGTTTATTCCTATACAGAAACACACCTCTTGCTCTTCCCTTATGGAAAATTTTAAGCTTTTTGCTCCACTTAGAGATAACTTCATGATATTTCCTCCAGGGTCCCGGAATCTATGATTTGCCTTTTAGAAAAATTACATAGGCATTTAGAACTGAAATCAAATTCAGATCCAAGTTTTTGGTAGACCTTTCTTAAGACCAGTTAGTCTGAGTGTCTTCAGAAACATTTAGAAATGGAATGTCAACTGCAGAGGCGTGTTTGGGTGGTAGGGTGTGGTGTCGGAGTAGCTGAAGACAAGGCTCATGTCTGAAGGCTGAATCACACTTAGGCCTATGGGAGAGTGCTGCCGGATTCCAGCTGCATGTACTTAGGTATAACTCTTCATGACCTAGGCAGTTTCATGAATTCCTAGATGATGCAACCTTTGAGATGTAATTGTAAGCACTGGACCTACTATATAATGGTGGATTCGTTCCCAAGGCCATGAAAATATTGCTTTATCTGACCGTGTTTTCTTTGTTTCTTTTGTAGGCACAATATGAAAACCCACCACATATCTATGCCCTTGCAGATAATATGTACAGAAACATGATCATTGACAGAGAGAACCAGTGTGTCATCATCAGGTATGAGAAAGATGGTTATCACCATGCATGGAGAATGTGAGGCTATGTGCTGTCATTGAATGCTGTCATCAGAGACTCTCTGCTGTGTCGAGTAACAAGCCGGGTGACTGCTCTGTCATGGTTTAGTTTACCAGCCTATGCCATAGAACTCTGGATCCTGGAGGCTTTGAGCTTCCATGGGCTGCTGTTCATACCCTTGTTGCTTTAGGTATCCGGCTCCAGGGTACTTGGTACCAGCTAGCTCCTTCTCTGCTCGTCAAGGAGAAAGTTTTGCCATTGGGCCCTGAGCTAAAATGATAACATAGCTCCCATCTCATTTGATTGTACTGTGGCTTTACTCTCAATTTATACTTTACGCTATATATATGAGAAGACTTCAAAAATTTCATGGAAAATTTTAATTAAAAGATGATGGTTTTGTTCCACGGCTTTTTGAAACTCCCTCGTGTATGTGCCTTGGTATGTTTTGGCTGGTAACCAAAAGGTCAGTGGTTCTAACTCGCCAGTCGCTTTGCAGGAGAAAGCTATAACAATCTGCTTCCAAAAAGGTTTACAGCCTTAGAGTCCCTGGGGACAGTTCTATTTTATCCTGTCGAGTCTGAGTGAGAATCAAATATCATTATTTTTGTTGTTTTATTTTGTTTTTTAATGTCATAGTTATACGAAGTGTGCATCACTATTTTGTAAGCTGGAGTCCCTTTTCTTTAAGTGCCTGTTTTTTTAAGTTCCTTAATAATTTAGTAATTCAAATATGAACTTTTTATGTCCATTTTGTTGTTTGTTTTTAACTTTCTGAGAACATTTCTAGTAAATGCCGGCAAAAGGCATATGTAGCTCCATTTCCTGACCCTTTTAACCCAACTCAGCCCTGCATCTTAGCTGGTTTTGAGTGCTTATAAAATTTTGTTTACTATTATGAACATTTTTAAACTGACGCAAAGTATCAACATGCATATTTGCACCACTTAGAACTTAACAGCTGTATTTGTACACATCTATTGCTAATGAAATTTTTTTTATTAAGGATATTTGCAACCATATGCAGAATTAGAAATAATAGTATAATAAGCCCATCTCTATCTGTCATCCAGTTTGTACATTTACCAACATATGACCAATTATATTTTTATTTGTTCTTCCCATTCTGGTATCAGTTGATTGCTTAAAGCAAATCCTAGACAACAAATCATTTCTTTGTCAGTAACGTAGTATGTATCTCTAAAGATAAATTCTTATCATATCTTAAAAAATAAGTAATTGCTTTACTATCATCTAATATTATCAGTCTTCTAATTCCTTGACTATCTTTTTTTTTTAAGGTTTTTATTGTGGATTGAGTGAAAGTTTACAGGATACATCATCAGTTTCACATTCAAACATTCATATACCTTGTTTCATTACATTGATTATAATCCCCTCCACATACCATCAGTTAACAGTGTTTCTCTCTGTCCTCTTTAGCTTTTTTGGGGAAGGGGGTCAGGGAGGGGGAAACTTTGCCTTTTTGGAATTTTCAGTCTCGGCTTTTAGGGAAGGTTTTTACATTTATCTGTGGATATCCAGGGCTCATATATGGAATTACTAACCAGCATAACTGAATAAGCCTTGACTATCTTTTAAATTATTTTTTACAGTTTTTTATGTAGGGCTCACACAAGGTCCACACATTATACTTACTTCTGTGTTTCTTCATCTCTAAGAATTCTCCCTTGCTCATTTTGGTTTTTTACATGTGTTGGTTAAAAAGGTTTTTAACAGAACAGAATTTTCTATATTGTAGGATTTGCTAATTGCATTGCTGTGACATTATTTATTTAAATAGTTCTCTGTACCCTGTATTTCCTGTACATTGGTAGATCTAGAAGCTTGGCAAAAACACTTATTGATGTAGCTGTGTATTTCATGTCTGTTAGTCTTTGTGTGATATTCAAATTAACAGCGGACTCGTTATCATAAATATTTCACAGCCATTGTTTAATACGTTGTTGAAAATAGCTATTTAGAGCTCTATTTTCCTTTCTTGGAATCTTTCTATTTGGTTATCTTAAAATGCAATGCATTTAAGAAAACTAGATAAAAAATTTGATTCGTCTCCTATAGTTTTTAGTTCTCAAAGCATTGAGTTGGTGTCCTTAACAACCTCCTAATGGGTGTTGTTTTACTTTGGGTATCATTTAAGCTAGTGGGTTTCTGTGTGTCTCACTGTAGGCCAGTGAGCGGCCCTGGTATTGGCTCTTGAGTTTCTTTCGGTTATGAAACAAGTTTCAGGCACATCTTGTTTAACTTCTTGCTCAAGGCCTGGAATTGGCCATTTCACCAAAAAGCCTGCTTCATTTTGATGGGAAATGATATTTAGAGCCCACTAATTGGGGCACTAAGGAACCGTGGTTGTATAATGGATTACAAGCTGGACTGCTCACCACAAGGTCAGTATTTCAAATCTGCTAGTCACTCTGCAGAAAAAAGATGAAGCATTTTGCTCCTGTAAAGATTTACAGCTTGTGAGACCGTATGGTGGTGGTGGTGTGTCATGGAGTGAATTCCATGGAATGGTTGGTAGTTTCGAACTACTGACCTTGAGGTTAGCAGCCTGACTCATAACCCCCGACTCATAACCACTACGCTATTAAAGCTCCTTCTGAGACCCTATACAGAGTCACTGTAAGTCAGAACCAGCGAGGTGTTTCACAGCCCAATTGAGACACTGGGGTCCTGGTATGGCATTGTAGGATAAACAGTGGACTGATAACTGCAGGTTTGTGGTTCAAATCCACCAATTGCTCCTTGGAAACCCTATACATGGTTGCTATGAGGTGGAACCAACTCAACAGCATGCAGGAACAACACTGGGGCGCTAAGAGTGCTCAGTGCTCTGTGCTGTTAGTTCTTTAAGTTCTTTTCAAAGGAAAAAGCTAGGCTAGTATATATAAGTTTAAAAAGAGAGAGAGAAAGAAAAGAAAATGAGTTCATACTGATGCTTTTAGTTCATTTTTTAACTTTGATTTTTTTTCTTTGTATCTTATGCTGAAAATCTTGATTCTTGCAGACATTAACACAATTGCTTCTTTACACTGTGTGTATATATGTGTGTGTGTATATATATATATACACACTATGACTTGTGTAGTCTGGTGTGGTGCTATAGAAAAAGCACTGAACCAAAGGTCAGTTTTTAGGACCTCAGTTCAAACTCACCAGTAACTCTTCGAAAAACCTAAACAAGGTCACCATGAGTCAGAAACGACTTGATGGCACTTAACAACAACAATGTATTGGCATGTATATATGTATATGTGTGTGTGTATATATATATATATATAAATGCATATATACAGTCCATGGGTAGTGTAAATAGTTGATGTCTTAGTTGTTAACCAAAAGGTTAGTGATTCGAGCCCACCCAGAGGTCCCTCCAATTTTTTCACTTCTGAAAAAATCAGCCCTTGAAAACCCTGTGGAGTTCAATCTTAACTCTGACACACATGAGTCAGTTGGCTCAACAGCAACTGGTACATATTCATAGATACATGCAGTGCACACACATGATAGCACAGGATAAAGTAAAAAAGCAATTTTGTTCATGTTTCCGTATAACAATACCAATACAATTACTAAGAATATGAGTTGTTTTTCCTTTTGTTTTGTTTAATGTCATTTAAAAGACAGAAGACCTTTATCTCTAGAAGGTCACTAGAGGGTTGGATTTAGAATGTAGAGATGCTCATATTAGCTAATGTCATCAGGTCATGGTACCCACCTCTCTCTGGAGACAGATTCACCGTTGAACTAGGGAGAGTTGCCTACTCCTCAAAGTAGGCTTTCTCTTTGGAGGAAACCCATCATTCCTGCTGTTTTCTTTTCCTGTCTTGATTGCACATAGGTCAATCCCCTTTTAGTAACCTACACTTTGTTTTTGCCAACTCCTGCTATCTGTTGTGTTAAGTTCTATGGTTTGGTGGTTATGTGCCTTCGAGTCAGTTCCAATTCATAGCAACCCTGTATAGGGTTTCCAAGGTTGTAAATCTTTATGGGAGCAGAAAACCTCGTCTTTCTCCCATTGAGTGGCTGGTGAATTCGAACTCCTGGCCTTGTGGTTAGCAGCCCAATGGGTAACACACTATGCCACCAGAGCTCCTTATGTTATGTTGTTGTTGTTGTTATGTGCCATGGAGTCGGTTCCAACTCATAGCGACCCAGTACAGGGTTTCCGAGGCTATAAATCTTCACGGGAGCAGAAAGCCTCATCTTTCTCCTGCAGAACAACTGGTAGTTTCAAACTGCTACCCGTGAGATTAGCAGCCCAACTCGTAACCACTCTGCTACTCCTTATGTTAAGTTACAGTCAGGAATAAAACCACCCAGGTGTGGGCTTGGCTATTTCCCAAGTCTACCTGACAGTCGACCAACCAGATCAGGGAGAGTGGCTTCTACAGAGGCTTATTTCATCCACTGTGCCTTTCCTTCACTAATTTAACTTTTTAGGGGTAAATAACGGATTCCTGCTGGTGCAGTGGGACCATCTAACCAAATGGTCAACAGTTTGAACCTATCAACCCTCCAGCTGCTCTGAAGCAGAAAGATGTGGCAGTCTGCTTCCAGAAAGATTTACAGCCTTGGAAGCCCTAACTAACCCTAAACAACAGTTATACTCTAACCTATGTGCTGGAAATGACTCTACAGTGGATTTCATTATTTTGTTTTGTTTAGGAATAATGATTTCCAGTTCCTGGATTTCTTATTTAGTTTGAGAACTATACATGTATTCAGTTTTCCCACCCCTGCTCCATAGAGTCTAATTCATCTGATTTGCAATAAACCCAGATATCAGTATCTTTTTTCTAGCTCCCTAAGTTGTAGCGTAGTGGTTACGAATCGGGCTGCGAACCTTAAGGTCAGCGGTTCGAAACTACCAGCTGCTCCACGGGAGAAAGATCAGACTTTCTACTCCCGTAAAGATTTACACCCTTGGAAACCTTGTACAGGGTCGCATGGGTCGGAAC